CTCATGCCTGTAATCAGAGCACTTTGGGAGGTCGAGGCAAGTGGATCATGAGGTCAGGAGTTCAAGACCAGGCTGGTGAAGATGGTGCAACCCCATCTTTACTAAATACTATAAAAAAATTAGCCAGATATGGTGGCAGGCACCTGTAATCTCAGTTACTCAGGAGGCTGAGGCAGGAAAATCACTTGAACCCGGGAGGCAGAGGTTGTAGTGAGCCAAGATCATGCCACTGCACTCCAGCCTGGGCAACAGGTGAGACTCCATCTCAAAAAAGAAAAAAAAAAAAAAAAAAAGATGGGCACCTCTTAGGCTGCTACTGAGCTCTTGAGGAAGCAACAGCTGTCAGAGGAGCTTCCTGGAGAGGTAACGGATTCATTTATGCATACTGCAGGCTGTTATCACTACCTTGAGAGTCATTACATTGGAAATGTTGATACGGAATTTGTTCTTGACTTTCGCTGCAGTCATCAATGACCACCTCAGCTCTGGATGGCATTTAAGTCAGTCTCAACTCATTGGCCAGGGAGGTTATGGGTGATAGAATTGCTCTTACTCTTTATGGGCCAAAGTGGAGTCAGTGCAATCACTAATACATCCCACTGTAATGGGATTAATGTCTCTGACCGAGTACACGGTCAGTACAGAAACTTGAAAATGCCACTTGGCTTTCTAAGGTAGATTCTAGTGGCTTATGATTGTTGATTTTTTTTCCTGCCTGGTTGGATACAGACCCCTGGATATGGTTGAAGTCAATACTGATTGGTGTCATCCTGTTACATGAAGTTCTGTTGATAGTATCTTTAATTAAATGCCATAAAATACTTTGAATTGACTTGGTTCCAGTTTCTGTCAGTTTAATCAGAGTGACAGGTGGAGTGGCGTACTCATGGGAGAATTCATCAAAAGCCGAGATGGCATAAAATGAAAGATGCATATCATTGGGAGACAATTCTTTATGGGTCTCTAGCATTTCTGGGATATTGTGCAAAGAGAGGTACTGACTATCTTTGTTCCAGACTATTTGTCCGTAAAGTTTTTATTGCAAACAACTTTAGAAGGTATCAGAGCAAAGGGCACACATGCTCACTGCCCATTATTGAAGATTCCTAAGCCCAAAGTTCCTCTCCTTTAATGCACTCTATTGCATGTGCAGGTATCATCTGGCTCTCTTTGTGTCATCCTATGGGAATTGGGGCTCAGAACTGGCACAGATGCTGGTACTCTGGCTACTGCTATTGCTGAAAGTAAACGATCCTTTTTACAGGTAGTAACAAGCAGGCTACTTTGTTAGCTTGCAGTGAAGATAAAAATCTGACGCCCTCCACAATTCTTGACAGCCTCACTCCTACCTCTGCCTGTCCCATATCTTGGAAGCTCCCTAACTTCTGTCACAGGAAGTTCTCCAATACTCCTGTGCCATCTTACTTGATCGTATTACTTCTCAATACCCTTCCGCACCCCTCTTCCTTCAAACTTTTACATAATTCTGCCCTGCCAATACCTGCGCCAGGCAGTCCCGATCCCCTTGCTTTAGTTGTTCACAGTCTGGTGAGAGTGTCAGACACTCAGACAATCTGAACACAATAGAAGGAGGTGCAAAGTGCTAAGGGGGCTTGAAGAGGAATATTTGTTCTAGTATGGAGGTCTGGGAGGTCCTCATACAGGAAGTGAAACCTGTTTGAGCCATGAATGAGGAGTTGGGCCATTTTACAGATGAAGAACCTGAGGCACAGAAGTTAAACAAATTGCCAAGATCACTAGCTAGGAAGTGGAAAGAGACGATTGGAGCCAGGATTCTCTACCTCTAAATATAGAAATGGCTCCTTAACTTCACTGTCTCAGGCAAAAGATGAGACCATCCGAATTTACCTCAAAGAATTGAGAAAGATTTGGTATTAGCTTTGGGTCTATAAAATTTGAGATCCACAGAGTTGGTGATTTTGAGCTTGGAGAAGTCTGATGAACTCCAGGACTTGAGTGACCCAGTTTTTATAAAGGAAATATTTCAGACAAATAAGACTTACTGAATAATAAGATGAATATTTGTGAACCTACTGCTATTAAAAAAAAAATGTTACCAATACAATTGAAGTCCTCTGGGTATCCTTAATCACATCTTACTTAGAAGTAATTACCACCTGGAATTTGGTATTTATTGTTCCTAAACATTTTCTTTATACGTATGTGTCCATTATATATGAATATATACAGATATACAGATACATATGATTATTTTTTAATTTTATTTTTACCTTCTTTGGAGCTCTTATACAATATATATGGTTATTGTTTTACCTGTTTTTAAACTTTATATGAGGTTTTTGATTGAGTGTCCCCCAGATCACCCCTATGTTCAGAGATTTGCTAGAAGGACCCACAGGACTCAGCATATATATTACTATGACTAAGACTTATTCTCTGATGTAATAAGGATACATATCTGGATCATAGGGGAAAAGAAACTGGCAGAGTCTGGAGGAATCCATTTACAGGCTTCCTTATGCTCTTTTTCCCATGAGGAGTTACAAAGAGCCCATTTTGCCCCGCAACAAAAATGCAGCAACATGTGTTCAATGTTTCTGTCCAGGGAGCCCATTAGAGAGTACCCACAGTTTATTGAGGTTTGGTTATGTGGGCACCATCTTCCTAGCACACAATAAAGACTCCTAGAAAGCAAGCAGGTATTCAGCATAAATCATGCTTTCCAAACTCCTAGAAAGCAAGCAGGTATCCAACAAAAATCATAATGCATTCAAACAGTCTGCATAGTCAACTACCCTTTTCAGTTAGCTGGTGACAGGGAACACTTTGAGAGCCAAGTTTCCAGACACCAGTCAAAAAAGGCCAACCTTGCAAGCAGGTGTTGCTAAGGATAGCATGTTAGGCCTGCTATGGTAAATCTGCACAAGTACCATTCTCTGTGTACTGTGCAGCTTGCTTTTTTGTTCAATATTGTGTTTGTGAAGATACTTAGATTGATATCTGTAGCCACAATGTATTCTATTTCACTGCTGCATACTGTTAAACATGACAGTTTATTTACCCTATTAATGAACATTTAGGTCTTTTATAATTTTTCACTATTAAACACTTGCTGCTTTGAACATTCTTGTATGGATACATCTAATACAGGTAGTGGGATTCCTTGATAGGAGACGATATACATTTTTGCTTTTCTAGGTATTGCTAAATTTTTCTCTAAAGTGACTGTACTAATTTAGATTCCCTCTATTAATAAAGGAAATACAAGATTGGAATAATTGTGATAGTTGTGTTGTCTTTGTGAATAGATTTTTAAATACTGATTTAGATTTTTAAATAGTTGTAAGACTTCACATTTTCCATATCTTAGTTTGGTAACTTTTTCTAAAACTATATTAACTTTAACTAGATTTTCAACTTAATAAAGTTTGTATAATATTATTTTATTATTTCTAATCTCTGTGGTATCCCTGTTTATGTTCTCCTTTTCATTAATATTGTTTATAGCTTTTAAAAATGAGTCTTGCCAGAGGGTTTGCCCATTTTATTAGATTTGTCAAATAACTAATATTTGCTTTTGTCAATCCCCTCTATTGTACTTTGCTTCTTGTTCATTTATTTCTGTTATTTTCATCATTTCCTTTTCTGCCTTTTTGGGATTTATTCTGTTGTTCTTTTTCTACATTCTTAAGTTAAATCTTTAACTCATTACTGTTTTGTTGTTCTTGTCTCCTGGTGTAGGGTCTTTGCTTGGGTTCTCCCAGAGGCAAGTTCTGAGACCAGGATCTGAGGGCAATAGTATATGTGAGAGATGTAGGGAGCACCATAATGAGGTGGCAACGTAGGAAGGGAAGAAAAGGTGAGCAGTAAGCATGTAGCTTTTGTAGCTATTGAAAATTGCTGTCAAGATTAATTATGTCTTAAAGGTTACAAAATGATAAAATTCTATCGTTCATTTGGCATTTGTCAGTTAATTTGTTTTATGAAGGAGAACTTTTCCCCATCAGCTATTTAGTCACCCTGAAATACGGTTAGTACAGGAAAGGCAGAATACAAAGCTGCTTTCCTTGGCAAACTCTGAGGTGACCAAAGTGACTTTTTCCTCCATATGTCAACATGAACTTTCTTTGCAGTCCTTGTTCTTTTTGATGTTCAAATTTTTCCATATTTGGCCAGTAGGATCACCTTCAAATTGACTCTTATCTTCTTTTGACATGACCTGAAATAGTCTTTTATGGCTTTCTTGCTTTCTGTTAAGACAAGATATTCTAGGCTAATCTTATACATTTTCTTTCTTTCTTTTTTCTTTTTTTTTTTGAGACGGAGTTTCGCTCTTGTTACCCAGGCTGGAGTGCAATGGCGAGATCTCGGCTCACCGCAACCTCCGCCTCCTGGGTTCAGGCAATTCTCCTGCCTCAGCCTCCTGAGTAGCTGGGATTACAGGCACGCGCCACCGTGCCCAGCTAGTTTTTTGTATTTTTAGTAGAGACGGGGTTTCACCATGTTGACCAGGATGGTCTCGATCTCTTGACCTCATGATCCACCCGCCTCGGCCTCCCAAAGTGCTGGGATTACAGGCTTGAGCCACCGCTCCCGGCCATCTTATACATTTTCTTCTCTGCACCTAAAATCAGCTATTTTCCCATGGAACCCTGGTTCCTTTGGGGACAAAATAGTATTTTAAGACTCATTATTTGGGCTTACTGCTACTGAGTTGGTCTGTGGTTTAGGTCTTTTTTAATTTAATTTTTTTTTAAAGAAAAATACATCAGTTTGTATTGAGGTTGGTTCCTATGTTCTTTCAAATAACCCTCATTATTTTGTGAATTCTTTATGGCACCACGGTGTTCCAGACTTGTATTCTATGTTTCCTGCCTCAGCGCAGGATTTTTTTTTTTTTAATGAGAAAAATATCACGAATTCAAATTTACAGAAAGTACATTTTTACTTCCTCCAAGTTAGCAGTCTGTGTTTCCTTTTATTGGCGTTTGTAAAATTTATTCTTTTTAAAATTTTTATATTTTAGAGACAGGGTCTCGCTCTGTCACCCAGGCTGGAGTGCAGTGGTGCAATCACAGCTCACCACAGCCTCTAACTCCTGGGCTCAGGGCATCCTCCCAAAGCGCTGAGATTGCAGGCATAAGCCACCAGGCTCAGCCTATTTCCTTTATGTTGTACTTAGTCCCAGATAAAAAGTGACCTTAGATTAGTCCTTTCCTCTTTTCTTGAGGTGAGGGGGGCTTAGATTCCCGTACTGTGAAACAGAAGAATGGACTCTGTGCTATGTGACAAATATATGTATATAAATGTGTGTTACACACACATAAATTATATATATGTTTTCATTTTCATATTTTGCAAGGAGGGTAGCCAAATGCTCTGGACCCCCGGTTCTTTCTGTAGAGTACCCTCTGAGACCCGGAACCTTTGCTCAACTCTCAGGCTGTCCGGGGAAGTTTTAGGTGGTGATACCGAGCTACACACCAACAAATATAAGAGATCGAGGCTGTGGGACTGAAGAGAGGCAGTAGCTGTTGGGAGCTAAAGTGGGCGCAGGGCTTCAGCTGAGCTGGCGGGGGTCCAGTTGGTGAGGGTTCCACGCTGTGGTGGGGACCGAACTGTGGGCTAGAGGGAGCTGCGGCGCCGAGGGGGCGGGACGGGGTGGGCTCGCGGAGGAGGCCCGCGGTTGGCCCCAACCGCCCCGGGCTGCCGCCTGCGCCCGCCTCCTTCGTTTGCAGCTACCTCTTTCCGGCTATTGGCCGCTCTTCGGTTCTCGGGGCTTGTCTCCGTGTCCTCCGTCTCTGCTGTTTCTCTGGGTCTGTCTTCCTCTGTCTCCGTCTCCCCAGCCTTCGGGCCGGTGCCTCTCCTGGGCTTTGGCGAATGAGACTTGGGGACCTGCCCCCGCTTCCATGGAAGAGCCCCCGGCGCCCAGCTCTGCGCCGACAAAGACAGAGGAGCCGGGGTCCAGTGCAGGTGAGCGGGTTTGGGAGACAGAAGAGCTCCCGGAGTAGGATTCAACTGTGGGGACAGATTGAACAAGACCATCTGCGCTTGGGAAATCCAGACTTGGATAGTTGAGACAGAGCCACCCAGTCGACTAGGATCTGACCTGGCCAGAGTATTCTTAGCTAGCCCTTTTTTTTTGGGGGGACGGAGTTTCGCTGTTGTTACCCAGACTGGAGTGCAATGGCACAATCTCGGCTCACTGCAACCTCCGCCTTCTGGGTTCAAGCAATTCTCCTGCCTCAGCCTCCCGAGTAGCTGGGACTACAGGCGCGCACCACCATGCCCAGCTAATTTTTGTATTTTTAGTAGAGATGGGGTTTCACCTCGTTGACCAGGATGGTCTCGATCTCTTGACCTCGTGATTCACCCGCCTCGGCCTCCCAAAGTGCTGGGATTATAGGCGTGAGCCACCGCGCCTGGCCAGCCTTATTTTTATTCCTTCTCACTGAGGCCGAACTGAAACCTCAGAATTATCATTGCAGAGAAGAAAGGGAACTGAGGCCGGAAAAACCCTTCTTACCAGAGGTCTGTGGGTGGCAGAAAGAGCCCTGAGCTTCAGTTTGAACTTAGGAGACCTGGGGTCTTGGTCCAGATTTTACTGTGGAGTGGTATTCAGTAACCTTTGCCCCCATTCTGGGCCCGAGTTTTCTCATCTATACCATGAAAGGGTTTAGAGTACAGATCTTTGAAGGTCTGACATGTGGTTAAGTGCTCCTTAAATATTAGTTGTTAGGAGTGAATAAATGGGACAGGGAGACCTCCTTCTGGGACTCACTAGAGGCTCATTGGGTTAATTGGGGACTGTGGAATTACATTATTATAGTCTGAGAAATAGATGATTTTATTTCCATTTTATAAGTGATGAAACTGAAGCTCAGAGGTAAAGTGACTTGCCAAGTCAAACTTCACAGTCCATGCTACCTTATACTCTCTCCCCATAAGAAAGCAGGGAGGACTTGATGGGAAAATGATTATATTCAAGCAGCAATTATTTGAATTCTGTGCTTAAATGACCCCCAGAGCAGGCCCATATCTGATTCTTTAGTAACCCCGTTTTCCAGGAACTGATTTGTGTGAAATAGTTTGTGTAGCAATGCTCGAATTACCATCTATGTTACTTCTGTCTTCAACACGATTAGCATAATTATAAAAATTAATGTCTCTAATTGTTATAGTGATAATAAAGCATAAGTGAAATTGTGAAGACATCAATATTTATAATTAAAACAGCACTTTAAAATTTATAAAGCACTTTTGAGTGGTTCTTCATATTGATCTGCTTAGGTAGGTATTATTATCCATAGTTTACAAGCAAGGAATCCAAGACCTAGAGGTAACCATCAAAACCTCATGCAGCAAGAAACAGAGCTGAGACATGAATCTAGCCCACATGACAAGTTGTGCTTCTCCTTTGGTGATTTCTCCATTTTCTCTCCCTTTTTTATTTTTTGAGATGGAATTTTGCCATGTCACCCAAACTGGAGTGCAGTGGTGCTATCTCAGTTCACTGCAACCTCTGCCTCCAGGTTTAAGTGATTCTCCCACCTCAGCCTCCCGAATAGCTGGGATTACAGGCGCGTGCCACCATGCCTAGCTAATTATTTTTGTTTTTTGTATTTTTGGTAGAGATGGGGTGTCACCATGTTGGCCAGGCTTGTCTAGAATGCCTGACCTCAAGTGATTGGCCCGCATCAGCCTCGCAAAGTACTGGGATTACAGGCCAGGTGTAAGCCACTGCACTTAGCCTCTTCCTTTCCTGTTGAGTCCTGTCCCACTCCATGCCTATCCTGTGCTCCATTTTTCTTATCACTGGGAGAATTCCTGTTTAGATTTAACTAATAGTCACATATTGACTGATGATAGTGTTGGTTTAACTTATAATTAAAGTGTTAAGAGTTTAAAGTATGATCTCTTTCAGCAGTAAAGAGGGATTTAAATGTTTTTAAGAAAGGGAGTTATAATTGTTATTACCGTCATTGTTATCCACAGGATTCAAGGAATTAAACCAGAATATACAATAATTGGTAGTTTAGTAACTATCATATATTGCACTCATACTATGTCATAGGCTTTGTAATAGCCACTGTAATTAAGCATTTTAATTTATTTCTATCAGCTCCTCTCCTGAATTGTATAGGGGAGGATCCTGAAGCATTGAGAAGTTGTAACATGCCCAAGGTCACATAGTCCTGGCCTGGTCCAAATCCTATGTTCTTAACCATTACACCAGCCTGGCTCAGAGACAGATTATTTGCTTAGAACAAAGCCTGACCCTCTCAGGGAGGAGAACCTGAATTGAGGGGAGGGAGAGAAGTGTGCTCTAGTATTGGGTGAGAAGATAGTCTACCCTTGCCTATCTTTTGATTCTGTTGTTGAGAGCCTGGGATTGAAATGAAGGGAGGCTTTTCTTCTGGACTCAGCAAGGCCACTCCCCCAAATCCCCTCATGATACTGAGCCATAGTTCTTTTCCCTTTTTTAAGTTAGGAACAAATGACTAAATATTCATATGCTATTGATACAAGTTTGTCTTGATTGACACTAGGAGGCTGTAGCCAAATGCAGTACAACTTTGCCCTATAGTTCATTGCCCCAAAAGCTGCCAAAAGATTGGTGTAAAATCATCATGCCATTCCTCTGTCAAAAACTCTTGAGTGGTCTTCCATCTGTGGAATAAACACCTTAATAAGGTATCTAACCTCCCAGAATCTGGGCTGTGCTGACCCCTTCAGTCCCACCTCTGCCCCATCCCTTTACTCTACTTACTGTAGTCACACTAAACTCCTGAGAGTTCCCACAACTCACTGTGTTTTCTGTCACCTACAGGCTTTTCACATCCTCATCCTCTGCCCTTCTCTTTTTCATTCTCAGTTGGCTAACCCACTGTTTATTCTAATATCCAGCTCACCCATTCATTCAATAATTCAACAAAAATTTATTGAGTGCCTATTATGTACTAGGCATGGTTCTAGGTGTCATGGTGGAGCAATAAGAAAACAGACATACTCTTGCCCTTTCTGGAGCTTCCATTTTGTAGTATGTATTAAACAAATGTAACATAGGACATATCAGAGTGTGATAAGTAGTGTAGAGAATAGAGCAGGGAAAGAGGATAGGCTGGGGCAAAGAAGTTGACAGAGAAACCTTACTGATTGGATAATGTTTGAGCAGAGCTGAAGAAGGTGAAGGAGTGTTATGCAGCTATCTGAAATGAGTGTTCCAGGCAGAGCATGTGACTATATGAGGCAGGAGCTCTTTTGGCTCAATCATTATTCTCTCCAAAAATCCTTCTCTGGTGCCTTAATCTGGACAGATGCCACTTTTCTGATATTCTACTTGCTGTTGTGTTTATTTCTAAAGTAGCATTTGTTAAATCATATTATAATTGTCCATGTGTATGTCTGTTTCTCTCACTTGGATTGGGTTTCTTGAGAGCAGAAACTTCTGATCCTTCTCTGTCTTTTCTGATCCTTCTCTGTCAGCACATGTTTTAGGGCCTGACACAGAGGAGGCACCTAGAAATATTTATTGAATAAATCATTCTTACAGCCTGATAATACTTACAAATGATTTGTAAGATTGGGTTTGGATGACAGATGGCTTCAGGAAAAAGTAAAGGCTGGTTTTTGTCTGTCTGACTTGATTCCCCTTTTGGGCCTCTGAGAAGTGGAACACCTGGTTTTCTTTAATAATACTTAGAGATTCCATTGTGAGCGTTATGGCAGGCTAGCCAACCTGTAAAATGGTGGATAAAATATAACAAAGCCATCTGGGCACAGTGGCTCACGCCTGTAATCCCAGCACTTTGGGAGGTCGAGGCAGGTGGATCACCTGAGGTCAAGGGTTCGAGACCAGCCTGGCCAACATGGTGAAACCCTGTCTCTACTAAAAATGCAAAAAATTAACCAGGCGTGGTGGTGGGCACGTGCAATCCCAGCCACTTGAGAGGCTGAGGCAGGAGAATTGCTTGAACCCAGGAGGTAGAGGTTATACAGTGAGCCGAGTGCATGCCGTTGCACTTAAGCCTGGGCAACAAGAGTGAAACTCTGTCTCAAAAGAAAAAAAGAAGAAGAAAATATGACAAAGCCCTTTATAGCTGAATTTGTGAGAAAGTAAGAGAAATCTCGAGGGACCTGGAAACCGAGAGTGAACTGAAAACCAGAGTGGTTAGCTCCTTAATCTGCCCTCAGCTATACTATATGTCTCACCTAGAAACTTGGACTTTAATAGGCTTGTTGTTATACCAAATGAAGGTACAGGTCTGCATGGGTTAAATTCTAGTTTTTGACAGATGAATGGCATGTGAAATCCTCACATGAAACTAGGTCCCTTGAAAATCTGCATCCTGTGGAGGGTATATACCTTCTGATAGGGTAGACTAGTATCTTAATTCATTTTCTCTTGCTTATAACAGAATACCTGAAACTGGATAACTTATAAAGAAAATAAATTTCTTATAGTTGAGAAATTCAAGGTACAGAGGCCACATCTGGTGAGGGCTTTTGTGCTGGTGGGGACTCTGCAGAGTTTGGAGGCGGCACAGGAGGCTGACTGTGCTAGCTCAGATCTCTAGTTTTCCTCTTATAAAGCCCCTAATGCAACTCCCATGATAACACATTAATCCATTCATCAATTAATGAGGACAGAGCCCTCATAACCCAATCACCTCTTAGTGGCGCCACCTCTCAACACATCATACTGGGGATTAAGTTTCAACATGAGTTTTAGAGGGGACAAATATCAAGCCAGAGCAACTAGGAAAAAAAAAGTCTCCCTATTGACAAAGAGAGAAGACGAAGAAGATTGCCTTTTATCTTAGGCTCTCGTACAGAAGAAAAGTTTTCCCAGAAAATTATTAAGCACAGGCATTTACTCATGCAGATACCCAAATGGCCTAGAAACTCCATGCCAAGAAGTTGAACATTTAAAACTATCTCAGGCTGGTAGTACCCCTGGATGCTTGGTAGAAACAAATGCAAAACCTCTCTGCTCCAAGATACATACTTGACACAGGTCACATAGGATTCCCACAGGGTCTGGAGTTAATGAAATTCTCATTTGTTAAGTGAGAATGTATATTGCTTGCTTTGTGCTATTGAGAGCATATGTTATCCTTGTATAAATAAACATTTGAATATATCTGTGCCTCCCCTTTGCTCTCCAAAAGTGAAATGATGAGGCAGAATTTATATGCAGGCCAGCATCTGGGTATAGACCCACATTGAGCTGCCTTCTCTCCTTGCAGAGGTCATGGAAGAAGTGACAACATGTTCCTTCAACAGCCCTCTGTTCCAGCAGGAAGATGATGGAGGAATTACCTACCGGATCCCAGCCCTGCTCTACGTACCCACCACCCACACCTTCCTGGCCTTTGCAGAGAAGCGTTCCACGAGCAGGGATGAGGATGCTCTCCACCTGGTGCTGAGGCGAGGGTTGAGGATTGGGCACTTGGTACAGGTGACTCCTCATCCCAGATCTGAGTCTGGGCCTCAGTTTCTCTCTACAGAGCTCAGAGTTCTTCAAGATCTGTGCCTTTTCTCATCAGTATAGGAAAGCTCTGTGTGGGGAGCAGAGGTGGAAAAACAGCAAAAATAATGGCTCTCACTGAGTGCTTATTGTGTGCCAGGGGCACATTGGATCCTCACAGCCACTCTATGTCATAGGTACTGTTGTCAGTCATATTTTACAGACAAGGAAACTGAGACTTCGATTGCCATTTGCTCAAGGTTATATAGCTATAATACAGCAGTAGAAGCTGGCTTCAAACTCAGCCACTGACTCCAGAGACCTTCACCCTTGTTTAGATTCAGCTAACATATGATGTGCTTTTCATTTATATTCGCTTTAATCCTCATACATCACCTAGGGAAGTAAGCATTGGTTGTACAATTTTGCAGATGGGGGATCCTGGTGCTCCAAGAGGTAAGTAACTTGCTCAGGACCACATTTAGCAGATGCTGGAGGGATACCAGTAACAACCATACTTCTACTACTAAAAGCTTTATGTGAGACACATTTTATTAGCCCCATTTTGCAGGAGGTAACCAGGACTGAGAATTAAGGTCACTTGCTTTGGCCACACATCTAATAAGTGGAGTTGGAGCCCTTCCTCTTGAGTAAAAGAACATTTTTACTGTATTTTTAGTGAGGAAAGAATGGTTGCAGTTCTTTGGCCTGGAAGCTACAGGGTTATTTCAGACCCCAAATAGGCATACCTCAGAGATATTGTGGATTTGGTTCCAGACCACCACAATAAAGTGACTATCACAACAAAACAAGTCACATGAATTTTCTGGTTTCCCAGTACATATAAAAGTTTTGTTTATATATACTGTAGTCTGTTAAGTGTGCAGTAGCATTATGTCTAAAAAAAAGTATACAGAGTAATGATTATTTAAACCTTTGGCTAGTCAGTCTTTTTTCTGGAGTGGGTCTTGCCCTAATGTTGGTGGCTGCTGACTTATCAGGGTGGTGGTTGCTGAAGAGTGGGATGACTGGTTAATTAGTATTATTTTGTAGAAGATTTCCTATTCACATAAGTAATTTCTTAAAATAAGACAACAGGCTGGGCACAGAACTTTGGGATGCCAAAGTGGGAGGATTTCTTGAGCTCAGGAGTTCAAGACCGGCCTGGGCAACATAGCAAGACCTTAGCTCTAATAAAAATAAAAAACATAGATGGGTGTAGTGGCACACACCTGTAGTCTCAGGTACTCAGGAGGCTGACTTCAACTTGAACTCTTGACCCCAGGAGTTGAAGGCTGTAGTGAGCTGTGATTGTGCCACTGCACTCCAGCCTGGAGGACAGCAATACCCTGTCTCCTCCCAACAAGAAATAAGACAACAATGAAGTTTGCTGAAACAGTTGACTCTTCCTTTCACAAAAGATTTATCTGTAGCATACAATGCTACAGAATTTGATAGCATTTTTTCCCATAGTAGAACTTCTTTCTTTTTTTTTTTTTGAGATGGAGTTTCACTCTTGTTACCCAGGCTGGAGTGCAATGGTGTGATCTTGGCTCACCGCAACCTCCGCCTCCTGGGTTCAGGCAATTCTCCCGCCTCAGCCTGCTGAGTAGCTGGGATTACAGGCACGCACCACCGTGCTCAGCTAATTTTTTGTATTTTTTGTATTTTTAGTAGGGGTTACACCATGTTGACCAGGATGGTCTCGATCTCCTAACCTCGTGATTCACCCGCCTCGGCCTCCCAAAGTGCTGGGATTACAGGCATGAGCCACCGTACCCGGCCAGAACTTCTTTCAACTCTTAAACCCTGCTGCTGCTTTATCAACTAAGTTGATATAATATTTTAAATCCATTGTTGACATTTTGACAGTGTTTACAGCATCTTCATCAGAAGTAGATTCCATCTCAAGAAATCATTTTCTTTCTCATCTATAAGAAGCAACTCATTTGTTCATATTTTATCATAAGATTGCAGCAATTTAGTCACATCTTCAGGCTCCACTTCTAATTCTCTTGCAGTTTCCATCATATCTGCAGTTACTTCCTCTACTGAAGTCTTGAACCCCTCAAAGTCATCCATGAGTGTTGGAATCAACTTCTCATTCTCTCTTAATGTTAATATTATGACCTCCCATGAATCATGAATTGCCTAAATGTCACCTAGACTAGTGAAATTTTTCCAGAAGGCTTTCAGTTTACTTTGACCAGATTCATCAGAGGAATCACTATCCATGGCAGCTATAGTCTTATGAAATGTATTTCTTAGGGTCCAAAGTGGCTCCCGCCGGAGGTCATGGCGCTCGCGAAGGCGAGGTCATCAGTTCAAGGCTAACCTGAGCAACCTCATAAGCTCAAACTGGCAAAAAAAAAAAAAGAAATGTATTTCTTAAATAGTGAATCTTAGAAGTTGAATGACTCCTTGATCCATGGGCTACAGAGTGGATGTTGTATTAGTGAGCATGAAAACAACATTAATCTCCTCATACATCTCCATCAGAGCTCTGGGATGACAAGGTGCATTGTCATAGACCAGTAATATTTTGAAAGGAATCTTTTTCCTGAGCAGTAGGTCTCAACAGGTGGCTGTAATCAAAAGTGCTTCATCCAGGCTTTGTTTTTATTGTAGAGCACTGGCAGAGTAGATTTAGCATAATTCTTTAGGGCCCTAGGATTTTTGAGTGATAAATGAGCATTGACCTCAACTTAAAGTCACCAGCCTGTCTCTCTATTCGTGAAAGTCCTAGTTGGCATTTTTCAGTAGAAGCCTGTTTTGTCTATGTGGAAAACCTTTTGTTTAGTGTAGCCAACTTTGTCAGTTACCTTAGCTAGATCTTCTGGATGACTTGCTATAGTTTCTCCCATCAGCATTTGCTGTTTCACCTTGCCCTTTATGTTATGGAGACAGCTTCTTGCCTTAAACCTCATGAACCATCCTCTGCTACTTTCCAGCGTTTCTTCTGCAGCTTCCATACCCCTTTGGCCATTGTAGAATTAAAGAGAGTTAGGGCTTTGCTCTGGATTAGGCTTTGACTTAAGGGAATGCTGTGGCTGGTCTGATCTTTTATCCAGACTTCTAAAACTTTCTCTGTTTCAGCAATAAGACTGTTTTGGTTTCTTATCATTCCTGTATTCACTGGAGTAGTACTGTTAATTTCCTTCAAGAATTTTTCCTTTGCATTTACAACTTGGCTGTTTGGCACAAGAGCCCTAGCTTTTGGCTTGTCTTGGCTTTTGACATACCTTTCTCATAAGTTTAGTCATTTCTAGCTTTGATTTAAACTGAGAGATGAAGGACTCATCCTTTCACTTGAACACTTAGAGGTCATTGTAGGGTTACTAGTTTGCCTAATTCCAATATTGTTTTGTTTCAGGGAATAGACAGGCTAAAGGAGAGGGAGAGAGACGGGGGAACAGTTGGTTGGTGGAGCAGTCAGAACACAGAGCATTTATCAAGTTCACCATGTAATATAGGCATAGTTGTCATACCCCAGAACAATTATAATAGTAACATCAAAGATCACTGATCAAAGATCACCATAACAGATATAATAATAATGTTTGAGATATTGTGAGAATTAGCCAAAACATGACAAAGACATTAAGTGAGCACATGCCATTGGAAAAATGGCACAGGATTTGTGGTACAGGGCACAAAATGGCACAGGGAAAAATGGCACGAGGTTTGTGGCACAGGGTTGCCACAAACCTTCAGTTTGTAAAAACAATATCTGAGAAATGAAGTAGAGCAAAGTGCAATAAAATCACACAGGCCTGTTTTTCTTCCTGTTGTTTTCCTCTCTCCTAGGGCTAGCTTAAGTGAGACAAATGAGACAGTGGTTTTGAGAGTCTTTTGTAAAAGTATGTATATAACCGTGTCATCTCTCTATATCTTTATACTAGGTACCTTAATACTCCTAACCTACCCTGCTTTTTTTACCTACAGATGCTTCAAATCTGACCATTAAATTTTCATATCCACAGCAGATAACCTTGTTTTACTGTTAAAGTGCACAGTGCAAATGCTATTCTGCTGAACATGGGCCTTGCCATCAATGCCTACCTTTGCTTGTGATGACATTGGCTCACATTTTCTATATTTTCCTGTTGGTGAAGTTTTTTACTTTAAGGGATTTTCAGTTCCTTCTCTTTCACCTTGTCATGAGTCTTTCTCATGGTTTCTCAGGTCCAGACTTCTGCATGTATAACTAGCCTTCTCAGACACCCAGCCCTGCAGCCCAGTAGAACTTGGAATTCTAGCTCTTTCCTTTTTTCTGGGACAGGCATTGCTTGTGGCTATTGGTCATGTTGCACTGTTTTTGATCACAACAATGATTAAAATGCTTAACAGTGGGCTGATAAGCATTTTTTAAAATTGTTATTTTTTAAGAGACAGCTTCTATGTTGCCTAGGCTGGTCCTGAACCCCTGGCTCAAGCAACTTTCCTTTCTTAGCCTCCCGAGTAGCTAGGACTACAGGTGCCCAGCCTTTTAAATTTTAACTATCAGTCTGTTTGCATGCCTATCTTTCTAGAGATGAGGCTTCTCTGTGTTTCCCAGGTGGGAGTGCAGTGGCTATTCACAGGCATGATCGTTGCATACTACAGCCTCAAACTCCTGGCCTCAAGCAATCTTCTTGTCTAAGCTTCCTGAGTAGCCATGACTACAAGCAGGTGCCACTGAGCCCAGCAAGCATTTTTTATCAGACCATACCAGTTACATAACTTCACTACTCAGTAGTCACACACATTCGCAAACATGTCTACTTTAACTCATTCTCTCTTTATTTCATTCTCTTATTTATTTTGTTGTAGAATCTTGAAGTTAGAAAACTCATGAGCCCAACTTCTTTCCCAATATAGAAATCTGTATTCTATTGGTAGCTACTAAAATCTTACTGGTTAACAGCATGGCTTTGGAGTCAGTCAAGACCTGCTATTTATTAACTTTGTGACCTTGGATACTTGACTCTGTTTCTCATCTGCAATATGTA